AAATTTTATTTTATCTTATGGTTTCATTTGTACTGCACATCTGAGTTTTATACTGTAGCACTTGAAAAGTTCCTCTGCCCTAGAAAGGCAGGATCTTCAACCTCAGAGAGTTGAAATACAAAATGTTAATAATGAAAATGAATGAAAAACTGAAAGAGAAAAGTTCAGATTCATATATTCGGAAATGCCAAGAGCAGACTATTGATAAAAAGAAGAGTATTAAAACGTAAAAGAAAGTGAAAAATAATATATATATATATATATATATATATATATATGTAAAGGAAGAAAGATAAAAAATATGATGGTGGATGTATTAATAAGGTATAAAAGGGAACTTTTCTGAATGGGGAAAATAGGAAAATTAGAAAAGAAATTATAAAGATGGAATGAAGAAAAATAAAATGGGGGATCTATTTTCATGAAAATTGATTAAAGCAGCAGATATAAAAGAAGGAAATGATAGGAATTGATTTTTCCTGAGTTGGATGATAAGCAAAGAAACGCTGTTTTAGAGTCTTTCCCTGGGGCTTCAGAAGACCCAGGCTGATACATTCTATCAAGTTCTCCAATTTCCAATCTTTACAGATGAAAAAAAGAAAATTTAATAAAATTAAATATAAATTTTAAATAAAAGAAAAGACTTTGTGCTACAGGACACTTATTCACAATTCAAAATATTTTTTTGAAAGAATATGAATAATAATATTAATAACAATTAGAAGACTTTGTGAATGAGTTATGGTTGGTTCTCAAGTTTGCTTTTATAATGGTAGTGGGTTCAATGCTTTGTTCCTTCTATATTCTCTCTATATCCATGGCCATGTGCCATCTAAACTACATATATGATGGTTTGTTGATTGATTCGTTTTTATGGCTTATCAACCCTTTGAAGTTTATTTAAACCCAGAAAATATTTTTAGATTCTAACATTGCTTTTTTGAGAAAATAATAATTTAGTAATACAAGTCTTACTAATTAACCCATAGCTGGGGGAGAAGAGGTGTATTAATACCTTTCCCAAGTGTATTTGCCCATAGGTGTAGATAGGTTTGCCTGTCTTTTGAAGTGGCATAGAGGTGTAGCTCTTGTTTCCTGTTTAGGATTTGGTTCTTCCTAATGTTTTCTTATTCTCTCTCACTCCCATTATTATCGATTTACTTGGGGTGAAATGATTAAAAAAAAAAAAAGAAGTGAATATAATGAACATAACTGGAATTAGAACTCGGCTCTCCCATTAACAATTCTGAGCCATTATCCATTACACCACCCGCACATCCAAACATATTTTATATCATTAACTTTACTAATTTACTTTTTGTATGAATGATTCATTGTGATATAAATTAAACAGCACCACATATTTGATATATATATATATATATCTATCTATATATATATATATATATATATATATATATATATATATATATATATATATTTTAAAACATTTTATGTTTATACATTCTTTTATAGATACAAATATTTAAGTAAATGCTCTGTTTATAATAAACAGTATTAAACAACATTTACCGGCCTGAATGTCCGAGAAATTTTCACAGAAAATATTCGTCCTCTCAGGCCGGTAAATGTCGTTTAATACTGTTTATTATAAACAGAGCATTTACTTAAATGTTTGTATCTATAAAAGAATGTATAAACATAAAAATTTAAAATAATTGTCGGACTTGGTCCATTTATATATATATATATATATATATATATATATATATATATATATATATATATATATATATATATAATTTCTTGTATGTCATAGTGATGCAAAAAATCTCCTTGAGAACAAGGCATGTTTGTCATTTCTTTCTTTCATTTCTATTTTGTTCCATTTAAGTTGTTAGTATATCACAGATATGCTAATTCCTATAATGGGGGAAATGATTTTGGAAATATTCTCGCTTTCCTAGAATCTCCGTCAATTGGTGAACTCAATACGATTTCCTTCTACTGAAAGGGAGATAATCTCCTCCTGCATCTCTACAGTCCCTTTTTTACTCTTTTAGACATAGGACGTGTCTTGTTTACCCTCTGAAGTTCTAAAAAGAACACACGTTGAAGTCAATTCTATTTTTCTGCATTTAAATTTGGTTCCGAAATTTGGAATCATGTATAAAAGTTGTATCAGTCAAGAGTTAATTACCCTTGAATAATTAACATATTCCCGCATATTTTCAACCAAGTTGGTGGTCAGGAGCTTAAAGTGGTGAGCCGTTTCAAATATCTTGGCTCGATTATCAATGAAGAGAGCCACGGAATAGAGATAATTTCAAGAGTAGCACAATGGGTGCTGTCACAAAACTATAAACTATTTGGAAAGGCAATAACTTCAAAGACTGAGCTTCTGTGTGTACTGACCTTCTAAATTTTCTGTACATCTGCGAATTTTGGACATTAACAGAAGAACGTCTGCGTAGAATCCAAGCATTAGAAATATGATGCTACAGAACCACTCCAGGCGTCTCCTGCGTAGACAGCATCACAATTGAGACAGTTTGAATCACCATCAATCAAGAGGACCGTTGGAAGACCTCATCACCACAATCAAGAATATAAAGTCGAAATGTCATGGATATTTCATTAAAGTCAACCCTCTTTTCACTGCCATAATTTTAGGTACCATTTTGGGTACCAAAAACGTGGTAGAGAGAAACAAATGTTGGGTCTCACCGATTGAACTGGAATATAATTCACAGACATTGGCATGAAACCGAGATATAAGGAGAAAGTTGTTCAGCTGCGCAGCGACCCTTCGACCACATCCGAGACTGATAACGATGCTGATTATAATTACAAAAAATAGATATAAAGCAACGCTACGCTTAGATTCCTTTTCTTTCTCTGTCTCCGACCAGAACCGCAAAAAGTTATCAGGTAACGAAGAATTTTCATTTTTGGCTACCTTTTCTCTGTTCGGAACAAAAGACCACAAGACATTCCTGTGATATCCTACGACAATCTTCTTAAGAATTTACATGCAGAACTGGACAACTAATTCTATTATTATGACACGACACACATTTCGTAATTAACGTCTGGCTTACCCAATAATACCATACAACTTAAATTTAAGCCCTGAATACCATGCTCTTTGTAAAATAGCCAAATTCGTTCCATTAAATATTAATATTTATTAATCATATTAAACGCTTGCACCAATTAGAGAGGTACGGTGGAGTAATGGATAGCGGCTCGGGTTAAGGAATCGGAGAGCAGAGTTCGAATTCCGGTCGACTGGGAAAGGTTTGAATCCCCTTTTTTCCCCCACTCCATCTATAGGTAAATAGCAGGACAGACAGGGTTCTGGATAGCAACTGCTCTACCACAGAACGAAATAGCAACCTACTGCGAGAAAAAAATCTGCCTCGTCAGTCATATATCGAAAGATACATGATCGCCTAAGCGTGTATCATGCATGGAACATAACAGACTACATTAATTATATATTATTACAGGTAATATATTATCGACAATATTCAGCTGTGTCATTATACGGCTTTTTTGTTTGTACGCGGTTGGGTTTGTACTGAATTAAACTGGGTCTTGCACGTCTATATGTAAATGGACAGATTAAGCTCATTTCAAGTAAACATCTAAAGACATTCTATGATTCAACGATATTATTAATAGTATTATTTGGGGGTCGGTCAAGAGTTAGTTGCCCTTGAATACTTAACATATTTCTTGCATATTTTCAAAGCGTATATAAAGCAACGTTACACCAACATTCTGTCTCTTTTTCCATCTCTGACCACAACCGCAAAAAGTTATCAGTTAACGGAGCTTTTTCATCCCCCTCCCAGTCCTTTCACTGACAGGAACAACGTATCACAAAGTGTTTCTGTGATAACCAATGGCATCCTTCTTAACAATTTGTGTGTAGAATTGGTCAAATGATTCTATTACTACAACTCAACATTTCTTTTAATTAACATCTGGCTTATCCAATGTTATTATAACACTTAAAGTCTAGACTGAGTGCATTGCATATGATGCCATTTGTAAAAGAAAGAAATGTACATTCGTTGTCTTGACGCTGTTTAGCATGCAAGCTTCTTTTAGTCCACAAAGAACCAGAATCTTTTGCTTCAATGGAACCATGTTAAGGCGTATTAATCATATTAGGCTCTTACACAAGTATAAAACCTCTGGGCAGAAAGCGCCCTGCCATTTAATATTAATGAAAATGTAGTCTACCTAAAGCAATGACTTCTTAGTTTCATAAAAAATGTATTACCCTTAAGACCTCATGCGACTATTGCAGCGTCTTTTCCGTTTCTCAAAAGAAAATCATATTTTGGGATTGCCATCAGCAGTGTCGTTTCATTCTCTTTAATCTTATCCCTGTTCAGAAACCTCTCCCGTTTCAATGGTGATTTTTGCTTTAGGGAGCAAAATTTGGATTGTAGTGGGTGTACAAGATCTCCGGGAAGATACTGTTTTGCAGAAAGAATTCTGAATAAAAAGCAGTCAAGATATTCAAAATAACTATTCTTTATATTTATTTTATAGGGCACAGGTTAGACGATATAAATAATATAACATTTATTTGATGTCACAGTTTTACGTTATGTGAAAATTAGTTATTTGCAATAATGAAGAATATCTGTTTTGGTTAAGATATTACAACACATACTTATAGGCATGATAAGGTCACCTCGAGGTGGTGTAATGGTTAGCAAGCTTGTTTTGCTAGAACAATTATGACTGAGTAGTGAGTTCGATCCTCACTACGTGCCCCATATTTTCGGTCTTGTGCCACATCTGGGCTACGCTTGGAAAATCACTACTTGTAGGCATGATTGTAAGTTGCCCAAAATTTTCCTATGTTTCTTGTAAAAAATTCTTTTGTTCATTGTCAATATTTATTTCAGCACAGATTTTTAAAGTTGCTTTTAGTATTCTCCAACCTCCGGCAAAATTGTAAATATGTAACGGGTTATGATTTAATACAGCAATTCTGAAATTTTAGTCACTATGCAATGCTGACCAGTCTCTTTCTTTTCCCTCATTTTAGTTCCTACTGGAGGAACAAGAAAACTTTTAACTTGGTTGAAAATACGCGGGAATATGTTAATTATTCAATCTTGTGCCGCTTTTGTTTTCAACAATAGATATTAAACCGTATTTACTTAAGTACAGTTTTGTGATCCTGAGAGGATTTGAAGTCCTACCAGGATTCATTATTGCGTAGTATTTGTAGGAATTGTTCACAGTTGCGTGTGTGTGCTCTCGGTAGTGAGAGTGGAATGAAAAAAAACCTAAGGCACGAAGTGACTGCCTAACAGTGTTATTTCTGGTTGAAAGCGAATACAAAATAGTGGTATGTTGAGGGGGAAAAATTGTAGCTTATTAGTTAACAAAGTTCTTGAGTAGATATTTTGTAGAGATAGATTGCTCCGCTAGTTTCCACGGGAGGAATGAGAAATCTGAGTGTGAACCTGATTGGATTGATGCGAGTCTTCTGCACCAAGGGCTGTGTGTAGTTTGTCTTTTGGTAGGTATCTCAAAGGGAGATAAATCCGCATGTTCCCACTGGAGAGACAAAAAATCTGAAGTGAAGCTGCTAAGACAGGTCTCGTCTTCATTAAGCAAGTCTTGAAGCTTGTGGCCGCTGAAAAGGCAAAGGGGGAAAAAAGAGCAGGCCGTGAAGGTAGAGGCGATAGAAATGAAAAAAAGTGGGAAAGAGGCTGGATAGGGCACTGTTAGGTCTCCTATGACTTCCGGGACTTCCGGTTGTACTCTGCTGATTAATTCCGTTGCTACTACTGCTGAATCGAGTAAAGTAAGGAAGTCGTCATATGTCACGATAGCCAACAAGTGAGATAGATTCTATATATTTGCACAGACGAACAGAAAAACAACTTTATGTGTATTTAATTAATATTCAGGATTTAGAGCGGACACACAAAATTTGAGCTTTTATATATATATATATATATTTATATATATATATATATATATATATATATTTCGTCAGAGGCGTCAGTAGCAATGATAGATAGTAAGAAGCACCGTCCAAGATAATTGGCTATTTGAAACTAAAATAAATCATATATATATATATATATATATATATATATATATATATATATATATATATATATATAGTTTTAAGGTATGCTATACTTATGAGTTAAAGTGCTCAATATTAGAAATAGAGCGTATGTAAATATAGATATCTATCGCATTCTCTTCATCATCTATCTCGTTTTTCATTCTAGCATATGTAAATATCTATTTAATTCTCTTCATTATCTATCTATCTATCTATCTATCTATCTAATTTTCTTTATTATCTATCTGTCTATCTCATATTTTTTATCTACCTATCTTTTCATATATCTCATTTCCTTCATTTATTTATCCAATTTTCTCCATTATCTATCTATCTATCCATCTATCTATCTATCTATCTATCTATCTATCTATCTATCTATCTATCTATCTATTTGGGTAGTGATTGTGGTTGCAATTTATTTTTTTATTTATTTATGTCTATTTCCTGAGGAAGAAAAACCTGTGTCGAAAATAGGCGAAGCAGAAAAGCTACATCAGTTTTCTCTTGTGTTCTTCCTGATTATAGGAAAGTTGCCAGTTTTTATGCATACATAATGTAGACTAATTCTTTTAACTTGTCCTACCATTCTACATTTCCCTTGTTTTGTTTTTTTCGCATACTTCCTACTCTTATTGTTCTTGGAAATTTTCTTTATTGTCTTCGCTATTTTTCTTTATTATGTGTGTTGTTTAATTTCTTGACCAATAAAAAGCCAGCTATTATGATGGTAGATTGTTGCGAACAAATGGCTAAAAAAGGAAAGGAAAAAACGTGTAAATAAGTAAGTAAAGATGAAACAATGTAAAGAAAGGTAATGTATCTTCGGCAATGAAGTTATAAGTACATATGTTTCAGTCACTGTGTTATTAGCTGATTGTGTATCTTGCTATAATAAAACTGAAGCTGCAAAAAGTTCAATGAAACTGACAATTTTATTCTTGGATCCAAAATAACGATAAGAGGTAAGTAGTAAAAGAAGGCGTCAGGAGCAATGATAGACAGTGAGAAATACCGTACAAGATAGTTGGCTATTTGTAACTAAAATAAAGCATATATATATATATATATATATATATATATATATATATATATATATATATATATATATATAAAAAATATAGTTTTAAGATATGCTATATTTATGAGTTAATGTGCTCTATATTAGGAATAGAGCATATGTAAATATAAATATCTATCTATCTATCTCATTTTATTCATTATCTATCTATCTATCTATCTATCTATCTATCTATCTAAACCATTCTGTTCTTTATATCTATCTATGTAAACCAGTCTTTTCTTTATCTCTATCTATCTATCTATCTATCTATCTATCTATCTATCTATCTAAACCATTCTGTTCTTTATATCTATGTAAACCAGTCTTTTCTTTATCTCCATCTCCCCCCCTCTCTCTCTCACTCTCTCTCTCTCTCTATCTATCTATCTATCTATCTATCTCATTTTCTTCATTATCTATCTATCTATCTATCTATCTATCTATCTATCTATCTATCTAAACCATTCTGTTCTTTATATCTATCTATGTAAACCAGTCTTTTCTTTATCTCTATCTCCCTCTCTCTCTCTCACTCTATCTATCTATCTATCTATCTATCTATCTATCTATCTATCTATCTATCTATCTATCTATCTATCTCACTTTCTACACTGTCTCATTCTCTTTGAGAATTTTGTAAATGATAAAAGATGACTGGAAATAACGCTAGAAATCTGTTTCAGAATGTTCATTTTGTAACCACAGAGATTAATCATTCTAGTATGTAATTAATTCCAGGAAATACCAGACGTCTTAATTGAATTTAATGCGCATCAAAAACATTGATATCACAAGCGCAGATCTGTAATGACCTGCATATGAGCTGGGTGACCATAAGAGATGCCAAAGTAAGTTTTGTACTCGTTGTAACCTCAGAACATCAACTTCGAAAGCTCAGAGTATTGAGTTTGAAGGTGTCCTCATAGTGACATCGGTGGGTACACTCACACAAACCAAGTGAATACATCTGAAAATAGGACATACACACACCTACGTGCGGATAGGGATAATCCCTCAAACTTTCTCAAGAAGATCGAATTTTCGTAGAGAGACCTGAAACAACATACCCTTGATTCGGTCGACGTTAGATTGACGGTATCCAGAACGAATAAATGTTTTTGTACATTAGGAAAATGTAGTCTCGTATTCTTATCCGATCCTGTTAATATTACACTAGAAACCAGAAGTCAGCAAATATGTGGATGCATATTGCCTTTTACATGTGTAAATATGTCTGTATTACAGTGATTTATTGCATTCAAGGGGGATAACTTATAACTGGTATTTGTGACTGTGTAAACATTCAAACAGTTATACGCAAGATTAATAAAAGCTAACTTAAAAGAAAATATCTCCTTAAGTTATATCAAATAAAGTAACTACTTTTATAGAAGGAAAAACCAGATTCCTGTTTGATTAATTGATTATACACCTGTAATATTCAAACAAAAGTTTTCTATTATATTAGATCAAAGAGCAAATTTGAAAAGAGACTAAAGCTAAAAAAAAAAAAAAAAATTAATCAAGCTTGTAGCTACCCTTACACAAAATCTAACCTTGACCGCTGTTTGTGTGCACCAGCTCAACACTGTTTTCATTGCCAAGAAATAGTGAATGAATTGCATCCATTAATCAATAAATCAAACAATCCAAGCTGGAGCATGTGACAAGTAGAGGGAAAAAGCGAGCTTACTGATTGGCTAACAAAAGTGAAAGTGAAAGTGAAAGTAAAAATATCGGCCAAATAATGAGTCTGTGAATTAGGAAACAAATACGTAAAGTAGCAGCGGAAACTTCCTGAGCTGCACGCACTGTGATTATACCGTTGAAAAATAATATACGTAAAGCTACCATTCATTGATACCCAAATTCCTAAGACAGGCTGCATTTTATCTACTCGTTTTTAAAAATAATATACGTAAATGTGACGTTCATTGGTAACACAGACTCCTAAGCCAGGATGCCAACAGGCTGCGTTTTATCTACCCGTGTTTAACAATTATGCAATGTTTTGTAACGTTCTACAGAAACGGTTCTGTGATTTCTACGACGGCTGACAAATTCGAGTTATGTGACTGAATAAAATCTTACGACAAGCAGGACAGATATGCTATCGAAATTGTTGAAATGCTTCGTCACGATTTAGACGAACTTTTTTTTTTAGGCCGAACACAAAAGTGCGTGCGTTTCAAGGTCGGTTGGGTGTCTTTTCAAGAGGAGGAGCGTTCGATGAAATAAGAAAGAAAGCAATATTAGGAAAGAAAGAAGAAATATTAGGTTTTGTTATTTTCTCTCATTTCCTTTCGTTTTCTTTATTTGTTTCTACGTTTTTAGGAGGCACGGTGGAGTAAAGGTAGCGGCTTGGAATGAGATATCGGAGATCAGAGTTCGAATTCCAGTCGAATCCATTGTACTAATACCATTGGGAAAAGATATGAATCCTCCTCTTCTCCCTCCAGCTATGGGTAAATAGCAGGACAGACCGGGTTCTATAGCCTTCGATGTCACCTGGTCTACAGAAGAAAGAAATGGCAACCTACTGCGGGAAAATTAGTCATGTATCGAAATATACATGATCGCCTAAGCGTCTATCAGTCATGGCACATAACTGAACGTTTTTAGGGACTGTATTGTAGAGTTGTCTTGTAGTTTTCTTTCTGTTTCTGCTATCAACACGGTGTCATCGACATATCTAATATTTTTAAACTTGTGGCCGTCAATAACGAATCCTGGTAGGACTACTAATTCACTCAGTATTGCCTTGCTGAAAAAGTCGAAGACGACATGTCTTATTCAGTCAATGAGTTAAGAGTCATACGTGATATGCGCTTGGGAGATTATGTCTTTTTCGATTCATGACTGACTAGGCAGAAGATTTCCTCGCAGTATGCTGCCGTTTCTTTCCGCGGGAGACTGGTTGACAACGAAGGCTATAGGACCAAGTCTGTCCTGCTGTCAAACTCATAGTTTTAGTCAAAAAGAGATAGATTCATACCTTTTCAAAGGGTATTTGTGAGAAAGTGAATGTAACGAACCCGAAAGAATTCGAACTCCTCTCAAATATCCATTACACCAGCCGCACTCCCTTATTAGCTAAGTTAAAAAAAGAAAATAATCTTGGCTAGACTTCCGGTTTACTTATTTTAAGCCTTGTGGCGTATTTGTTTTTGGGGTGAGAGGTTCAACACTAAATATTAAACTGCATTTATCTGAGGACAGTTCTGCGTCATATCTGTACATACGGACAGAGAACTAACTTTTTGTATATTTAATTAATGTTTAGGATTTAGAACGGACACACGCACAAACTTTGAGTTTTATATACTTTTCTTAGAACTGTTTGAGGCAAAAAATATTCATGAAAGGAGATATATAAATACAATAAGTCTTCTTTCAATCGCTAATAAAGCATAAGAAAATGAAAAAAAAAATTTTTTAACACATCCGTGAACAGTTCATCTGGTCTCTCACAGGCCTGAGAGATCAATTATGAACTCTGTCAGAAGGAAAACATGAACACATAATCTGCGGAGTTATCTCCCTTGCCACTCTTTAAGCCGAGTGAAGTAGTGCTGGGATTATAGGCGATCATAGCTCTTCAGAAATTCCTTTTCCCTATTATCCGTGAATCGTCATGACTTTGGAAATACGGTAGAGTGGTTTCCTGTTGTCTTCTCCATAGTCCTGAATTCAGAATTATCCTCCTAGAATAGTTGACAACCAAGGCTACTGAGATTAGTATACATGTCATTTGACATCCATAGCTGGGTGTAGAGAGAAGTGATGTCTCTAGCTTTTCCAATAGCATTAGTGCGAAAGTCAATACAAGAGACTAGGCCGGAAATTGAACTCTCGTTTCCGTTTTTCCTTTTCTGCACTTATAGAGAGCAGTGTATGTAAAAAAAAAAAAAAAAATGGAGTAAACTTAAGGATTCATTTTTAATCTTTATGCTTCACCTTGCCGAGTTATACAATTTTCAGAAATTATTTTTTTTTAAATATTGTTGTAACATCCTTCTCTCCATTAATCATCTGAGAGACTCTGCTTTTCATTGCGTCTTCAGTCACTTTCCCACCGCCGTAAGGCTGCCTGTCTGTGTCTTTTCTGTAAATACGTTCATGGTAATTGTTCGGATGAGCTTTTCGCTATAGTACCTCGACTTTATGAATTTAAGCACTATACTAGACTGGCGTCAATCTATCATCAATCTACAGTTGACCTGGCCAGATGTTACCGTAAGTTCTATTTAAGTTTATTTTCTCGCACTTCTCGCTTGTGCAACTCTATCCCAAGTCATCTACAAGAATTTAAATGCTATCTACCGTCCTCTTGATTACTCTTTTTTCCGCTCATTATTAATAATTCTGTTCCTAATTCCGCCACACCTTGTAACCGCTTGTGTCTCAGTGGCTTTACTACCTTGCATGGGGTGACTCCGATTATCATGGCGGCTATGAAATTCATCATTCAAGCATTCTTAACAGGGCTTCTTTTTTGTGTGCTATGTCTCTTCTGTACACGGGCGACCATTACTCTCCACAGCATCCTGTCAGTGATAGCTCTGATCAATATTTGTCTCGTTACTATCATTTCCAGTACCTCTTTTGCCATTCATTTAGACAAACCCGTTGGGTAGGCTAGTCGGTGTTTCCCTCTGCCTATCTTACTTTTAATATGTCTTGTGAGTAACAAATTCTCTAAGTCCTCTTTCCTTATTCTGTAACCCAAATACTTTTTTCTTCGTAAGTATAAGTGTCCTTTTTGTTTCCCTTATACTTAAAACTTCCTTGTTGCTCTCATGTTCGGTCTATGGTATTCCCAGCATCCTTCTGTAGAATGACATTTCTATTGCTTCAAGCGTCTTCTTCATCTGTGAGGAAACGGTCCCGTATTTACTGCCATATAGGAAGACTGATATTAAGTAACAGTTCAGTACAACTTTTTTTTTGGTTTCTAACAAAATTTTCCTGTTTCTTAATACTTTGCTTAGCTTTTGGAAGACATCTTTGCTATTTCCATACGCCTTCGGATTTCAGTGACGCATTTTTCGTCCTCTGTTTTGTTTTGTACTTGCTTCATCTTGGTATCTCCAATTCTTAGTTAACATTTTGGGCTTTTTTTTTTTTTTTTTTTTTTTTGCTGAAAACTATATATATACTATCTTACAATTGATGTTTAGTCCTTTCTTCACGCTTTCCTTTGTTATCTTCTGGAGGCGTTCCTGTAGGATTGATATTATTACATAACATTTCAGAGCTGTTCTAACGAAAATCTTCCCGTTTCTTAATACGTTGTTTAGCTTTTGGAAGGCATCTTTTGGTTTTTGCATTGCACCCTCGTATATATTTCTAGTTCTTTAA